TCAACCGAAACGGTTGGCAGAAGTTCAGTGACTTTATCTACTACTAACGCATTTATACCAAAGTTAACATTACGATCTATCCAAGAATAAAATTTCAAATTTATATATCCCTGGGTAACTTTATTAGTACCTCCGATGCCTTTGACTAAGGGACATGAAGGTGTCCTATTTATTGGCAATACGGTACGGACGCTTTGTTCGTTTCCACGCGAATCCCTAACTACGATATGGGCTGTACTCAGTAACACGGTTGAAGGAGACTGTGTTCCCATATTCGACAATGAGCACAGAGCGACATCACCAGGTCGACCGTTAGAATCGTCGACTTTAGTAGGTGGGATTTCCTTGTCTGATTTACTTGACGCAAATATGTTGCTGTTTTCGAAATGTAATAACGTGTGATGTTTTCTGGCGCACTTGTTACACACGGAAATGGAATTGCATTTAGCAACTAAATGTCTATCGCTTAGACAATTCAAACATAAGTTGTTTGTCCTTCCTATTCTATAACGTTCACTGGGTGAATGTTTACGAAAGGTCGCACAATTGTATAAATTACCGTGTTGTTTATTTTTACATAGAACACAGGCGCTATGGGGCGATACAGGTGCGGCGGTTACGTACGTTAGAGACTCTGCGGTTTTAGATGATGGAGTCTATCTGCGGTCGACACCTTTCTTAACTTCTTGTTTAACGTTCGAGGAGCGCTGTATCGCCTTAATTTGTCTCGCACAAAGGATGCTAATAAATCAAATGAGGGCAAATCAGAACTACGATGCTCCATTTCAAACGCACGCACGGGGTCGGGGTCTAGTTTCTTTAGTGCAATATGGAGAAACACCACGTCCATAAGTTCATTAAATTTCAAGTTCTTAAGTGCAGCCACCGATGCTACAAATTTATCTAAAAACTGCTCTAAGCCGGTGATGTTCGCGGACGGATATAGGTTTAATATCGAATATTTGGTCCAAATATGAGGAGGCTAACATTCGCTTATCTTCATATTTGTCCTTAAGTGTTTCAAATATTAATGAATAATTGTTGGCTGTTGGTGTGAAACCCGAGCAAATTGACTGTGCCCTACCACTCAGTTTACTAATTAAATAGTATAATTTTTCGGCGTCCGATAACGATGGATTATTATGTACGTTGTTTTGAAAACTACTAAAGAAGAAGGGCCATGTTTTAATATCGCCATTGAATACCGGAATATCTATGGGGGGCAACCTGAGTGAGTCACGTGGGCGTACCTGGGCTTCAGGCTTTGCTTCGCTTTGAGATGGGGACTGCAAGAGCTTCGCCGTTCTTTTCACGCGACACAACATGTCTTCAAATGCTAGAAGCGGCTGGTAGTTTACTGTATACTTAGGGTCGATTTGTAATTCTAAATTATTAATTTGGTCTAATATTTTTTCGTAACCCTTCCGCAAAGAGTCCACCGTTTCGATTTCACATAAAAACGTCTCCCGCACTGCTTCTACGTTAATAGTGTGAGAAGAGTATGTCCCTCTTGGCGTAAAGAGTTTTAATTTTAATTTCATTTCCACTAACTGCCATTTTAAATTACTATAATTAATATTAGATAATCACAATTAATCGCACAATGCTGGAGGATGGACGCAATGTAATACAACTATATCTCACAACACTATTGTCTTATCGTGCCGTATTACGTCGTTAAATTGAACACCTTTACAACGAGTCGAGGTGACGCGTGTCAGTCACTAAACTCACACTGGTTTTTTTTTACAAATGATGGGTAGCCTAATAAACCGTACGGAACTAAACTATTTTAAATGAATAAGTCGATTCACTTATGCGAGTAACCAATAAATTCCAAACTCAAACCAAACAAACACTATTTTAAATGAATAATTCTATTTGCGAATAACTAACCAAAGTTTAAATTTAAACAAAACGAACACTATTTAAATGAATAATTCTATTTGCGAATAACTAACCAAAATTTAAATTTAAACTAAACGAACACTATTTAAATCTATTCAATATTAAATTAGAGTGCATTGTCTAAGGAATTAATCTAAAATGAAATAAATCTAGCAATGGTTGGTGAGGCTATAAGCACCAGTCCAAATCCGGCTCGAAGGACCAGAAATGGTTGGGCGGCAGGCCTTAAGGTTACCGAGTCCCTATTCCCCGGTCGAGCCTTGACCCTATTACACGAGATGTTACACTATGTGGACTGTATACGCGGATGATGCCTAAACAAGGCACGCGGTTCCCTGACAATGCACTCGCTCTTCCAAGAAAAACCTATTGCTTGCCAAGGTTTATGAAGGAACCCTGCTTGATCCCATTAGGAGAAATGAAATTGGGGCGGATGAACTGATAAAACACAAATATTCAAGCAGGGGACGTAAATAAGGAAGCGCACTTACCGGGTTGTTACTTCGATGTGGCTTGGATGCTTCGTTGCTACGGTGCGACTTCTGGCGGATCTCCTGGGGCCCCAGGGATGTGGTAGTGGTCGGTGGTGCGATGGAAGAGAGCGGTGCGCGACTATTTCTCACACGAGGTGAGGCGGTTACTCCTGGAGCTCGACTGCTCCAGGCTAATGCTGTTGAACTAGCGGTGCGCGTGGGCAAAGCCCTCTAGGACGGGACTGTCCTAGGCGGTGTGGTTCCAACTGGCGGCCGAAGGGAAGAGGAGAGCACGAGGGCCATGTGCGCGCTTATATTACTTCGGTCCTTCTCTCAAGGCGTCTCGGGGGGGGCGCACTTCTCATTGGTTTCTTTCACTTGGTCACGCAACATTCTAGGATTATCTTCTTTCCCCTCTCACCTCACCACCCCGGTCTGTACGGAAAGGATAGGTGAAGGAAAGGTCGAAGGAAGGACAACCTTGGCAAGCGTACCCTCGAATAAAATAAAATACGAATGGTTTTCCGCGCAATCACATGTGGCTTTTGTTTTATTCTCCGCATTGTTGATATAATAAGTATTACGCGATTTTTGCATCAAATTAATGATTTTTTTATCGTTTAGAATAAACTTTAAGCTTTCTCTTGTTTTCCTCATTGGGGTGTAGTCGAGAATGCCATAGCATTTCTCGTTTACGTCTATAACACAATTTAATACCATTAGTAACCCAAGTAAGTTTTCTATTTATAAGAATTTTAATTTTGAGTGTCGGAAAGCGAAGATCGTAAAATAGTTTAAATAATTCATTGAGTTCATTAAACGCTTCATTAGGATCAAGGCATTCATAAACACTATTAAAAATGAGACTTCTGATGGCATTTTTAAATTTATTTAAGTTTTCTATGCTGTAATCCCGTTTTAACATGAACCATTGTTGAGTTGTATGATCTGATATCCCCAGATCTATCACTTCACCTTTACTGCCTCTTATATTATGAATTATATTATCAATACACTTGCCACTATGTGAACGTGTAGGCTCGCAAATACTCATCCGTAAGTTAAAATTTAACAATTTATTTTCTAATTCTGTAGAAAGCCGTGAACTTTGTAAAATATCTATGTTAAAATCCCCACATATTATAAGTTTTTTTTTATTAGTACTACAAAATTTTTGTAACACACCTTCAAAGTTATAGAAAAACGTAGTTACGGCGTCAATGCTTTCTTTCGGAGATCTATATAAACAGACAATAATTATACCATGTTCTATTAATTTCACACCACAGCACTCCACAATGTTAAGGCAGGAATATTGATGTAATTCGACCATTTTGTACTTCAATTCGTTATTTATTAAAACACATGACACCCCTCTTCTGATATTTCTGTTCGCGTATGTTGCTAGTTGAAAATTAGCTATGTTCAAATGTATATCATCACCATTTTTCATGTTATGATCTGTAATGCAGATTACATCTATATTTTTACCATTTTGTGATAGCTCACTTAAATGGTAGGCTATCAAGTCCGATTTATTTATTAAATTATTATTTACATTTTGGTGTAAAATTAATAAATAATTATACGAGAAAAAGATTAGAACTATTTTGAGTGTTAAAATTAGAGTTTTTCTTTGAATTATTATCTACAGCCATGCACACATTATCAGCATTACCTAACTTATTTGCATGAATTACCAAGTCAGTCCGAGTACAAATATTTATTACCTCTTTTTTTAATTGATTATTACAATGTATTACATCGGTTTGGGTATGTTTATTTTGTGTATTAATTGGTAAGGATTTGTGAGCAACAACTTTTTTATATAATTCAAAGTTCAGCTTATAATTTAAATGTAATACTTCTTTTAATAATGTTTTACAAAGATTTAAGGTAAAATGTTTTCTATATGGCAAATGACTACGGTAACCCATATCAATAAATGACACTTTCGTGTGTCTTTTGCAAAGTTTTTAATTAAAGTATGTTGATTGATAACTGATAATGTATGTATGTATGTGTAACAGGAAATGTATGAATTCTAGGAATTGTATACAACTCCTAGGAAATGTATAAAATTCCGAAGCTATTTAGGAAATGTATACATTAATATTGATTCAGAGATTATTTAATACGCACATATTCTAGGAAATATATACATTTCCTAGGAATTTTATAGCATTCTAATATCGTATTAGGAAATGTGTAAATCGAACGCTATGTGTGAAAAAAAATAAAATACGCTTTTAAATGAATAATCAAAGTTTTTATTAATGGTCTCATTGAGACAATCAAGTAACAATCATGTGGTTTATAAATTATTAATACTCTTCATACTTCTTAATTATTTAGGAAATAGAGTTTTTATTTAGGCTCTCATTGAGACTAACATGTTACAATCATAAGGTATAATATAATATACTAATTTAAGCTTAATAAATCAACTATTTATTAATTCTTAAGGTCCATTTATCACAAAAGCTACTATACTTTCATATAAAGCTCAAACTGTCATTTGGTAAGTCATCAGTCTGTTATTTAAGTAATTCTACATCACAATATTAAAGTAAAAGTATATCTATTTTAATACTAAATTATATTACTGGCTAGGCTAGGCTATTTATTTTTGCAGGGCAAGCTGGAATGGCACTTGGAAGTACGCAATAGTTTATTTTTATAGCACATACATCTTGCTATACTACAGTTCTTCTTGCAAAGGCACTTTTTAAACCCTTGGCCAGTTCCAATGGATTTTAGATTTGCAACTGAACGTAGTGCAATTTCCGTACTCGGTACATTCTTAACATCAAGAACAACTCTCGGGCAAACATTAATCTGAGATCTTGAATACAATTGTTTTATCATTCCATTATTTGTACCAATTTGATAGAGCTCATCATCAGTTTTAGCCAAGACTACGCCTATAATATTTCGGGCATCACCACGTCCTCTGTCAACCTCTAGTACTGCAATTCGTACAGAAGTGCTAATAGGTATTGGAGGAAACTTCTTTTCACTGGATTTCATAATTTTTTCGGCCTGTTGTTGTAAGTTTATCTTAGCACTTGGACGAATTTCTAGTGTTTTTAAATTCTTTGAACACAATGAGCACAGAACTTTAGAACCATATCCTTCATCGGGTGATTCTTCAGCAGCAGCCCAAATTGAGTGGATTGCACAATCGCATTCTCTGCATATATGAACTCCTGTAGTTTCTTGTGAACAGACGCTATATTGATTTTGAAGCACGCAAGGTGGAGTTTGTGGTTTTGTTTCGCTTTGATCTGAATCTTTGTTAGAAACTTGGCTTGTCTGCGTGTTCTCCTTAGAGAGCTCACTTGCGGAGACTTTGGGATCCTCTTCATTCTTAGTAACTTCTTGTATGATTTTTTCTAAATCTTCTTCAGTGTCAACGTTTTGCGTGAAATCATTGGGTAACTGTAGACCTACTTTTACTTTACACCCAAAAAGTAGCTCATAAGGTGATTGCTTGATACCAGCATGAAAAGCTCTGTTTTCCATAAGTTGCACGAACCTTAAGCCCTCGCTCCAATGCAAATCATTATCGTCTTACATCCACATGGTCAACATATTTTTAATATCTTGATTTGCCCTTTCTACACTGCCCTGGCTTTGCGAATGCCTGGGTTTACCATGAATAATTTTTAAAGCAGGCCAATATGTTTTTAAGTTCTTAATTATTCGGTTGGAAAATTCTCTGCCGTTGTCAGACTGAAGAATTGCAGGAACACCAAGTAGAGTAAATGTGTCCAATAAAGTGTGGGCAACTTCCTCAGCTCGTTTCGATTTGAGTGGTCGTAAAACAACAAATTTTCTTAAGTGATCTTGAAAAACAAGTATGAATTTGTTATCACCGTCGGGCTGGGACTGATAATCTATCAGATCCACTTGGCATCTAGAGTTAAACTCTGACGATATAATAGGCTTAACAACAATACCCTTTTTTATGCCTTCTTGCTTTTGTTGACATGGTTCACAAAGTTCAAGATAGGTATCTATATCCTTACGTATTATGTTCTTGTAGTGACTCCCATCCATCGTGACCAATTCGTATAAGTGCCTCGTGTAATATATCGTATAACTCACTGTCACATGTATAGTAAATAATATTGCTTATAGTATCTTTAACCGGAAAAATAAGCTTACTTTTCTGGTCAATAGTAAGCACATCGTAACGCCGTAATAAACAATAGTCGCGAGAAGACATTCTTGCTGTATTCCTTTTCTATCTAGATATGGTTTAGCAAGCAATACAGTAAATTACAAACTGTGGGCCGTGCCTAGCCTATTTCACGTTGGTTCTCAAGATTGAAATCGCATCGCACCTCTTTTATTAGTTGTTTACAGATTGCAGATATACTAGGGCTACAGTAACTACTTAGCCGGTTTATCTCTCCAACGATAATTATGAAGAATAATATGAAGTATAGGTATGAAATAAATTAGCATCCCTTTTCTGCAACAACATAAAAACTCAAAAATGTATTTTATTTATTCCACTCCATTTTAATCACAAATTATTCTGTAAAAATTAAAAATAATCTAAATCAAGCTTGTTAAATAAATAACCTAAACATAAAATATTTTAAATTGGTAACGAGCTCCGACAACCGTAGATGACATTAAGAGTAGAATTAATTTGCGCTTAACTGAGGTTTAGATGGTTTTAGGAAAAATACGTCGCTGATAAAAACTTTTAGCAAATTACATAACTCGCCTGATTTAGATGATGGTAAGGATTTATAAGTATTTTAGGCAAAAACTTTACATGACGTAAAAATAACAAAGAGATTATATATTCTATAGAGTGGACACTGGGAACATTTGCTAATAAAAACTTTGAACTAGCGCGCGTATGACGCCCTTTAAGCAAAACTACGCTTTATATTTATTAGGAAAACATTTTATCTATAGGTGACGCTAATAAATATAGGGTAAAACCTGTCTTAGGAATGTTACCTTATCGACATCAAAGTGAAAAATATTGTTGAAGGTTACTAAGTTTGAAATGCTCTACGATATAATGACGGGGAATATGCATGATTGTTTTATTGTATTATGAGTCCCATCACACCAAAACAATCATATAAATTTTTTATGTCATTTTAGTGTCATGAAATAAAATATTAAATTTCCAATAACTAAGAATCAATTCAAACAGCAGTCATATTGGTAGCATCTTGGAAGTCGTCACTCAGTCAATAAGACGCTATAATAATAGCATATGATGGCACATCGGAAAACGTCAAATCCAACAAGAGAGCGCCTCCATGTTTTTGAAATTCGTTCCTTTTACAAAAATAAAATTTAAATCTAACATATTTTAGTAAACCACTGAAAATAAAAGTCGTTACAGGATAAAACATTATCAATCATTCACAAGTTTGCGCGTTTACTGCTAAAATGAATCCCGTTCTCGTATCTTTTCGATTCCAGGGCACTTCTCTTGTTGTTGCAGTCAGTATTGGAATCTTCGGCATCGACACATCGAAAGACTCGCAGTGTCGTAGTCACTTGACTTGGAAGAGAAAGCTAAATTGGGTTCTAAAAAGCTTAGCGTACTCAGAGCAAGACAATATTTCATGCCGGCACACCGTTTGCAACTTTACAAGGTGTAGATGAAATACTGTTCATCTCCAGGCCGGGCTCCCCAATGCGAGCTACTCTCACTTGACTACATAGAAAGCAGAGCGAATCAAACCGTCGACGATCGAGTTCTCTTTAATTGGCTCGATTCGTTGACGATGCGTAGATCTTGCATGCCTTTACATTTTTCATCGTATTTACCACGGGAAGTGCCCTGAGTAGTTGTTCAGATTAATTCCAGCCACCAAATGTTACCAACACACATCGCGACAAAACTTACGTTACCATCCATATCATTTGAATGCTTTGCGGTCCACTACCATGTGATTTATTAGAAGTTATCTTCCTCGCACGAATACTCTTTAGAGTCGTTTGCATGAATTTTAATAACAGGCACCTGAACTAGGATAAACCTGTATCTCAGGTGTATGTGCTAAAAGATACATTAACAAATGTTTTCTGTTTGCTAAACCTAAAGTTATGCTAAACCCAAAGTTTACAAATTAACTTCAAATAGTTCAAAATCTATTCTGTCGTAGGGCCACTAACTCGCCCTATTACCAAGAAACCCCCCAAATGTCCGTAATGCCGACCTACACCGAGACTTACAGCTCCCAACAATCCAGCAGTTCCTTAAATCACTCTCTGAGAGATTTTTCAAAGCCTCAGAGTCCCACCCAAATCATCGCATTCGCGAGACAGCTGCCTATGCAGCCCCTCTTCACACTCGCTATAGTGTACGCAGACCGAGAAACTCTCTCTCGGACCCCCCCAACAGCTTTTGGCCGACCTGAACTGCCTCCTGGCGGCTCAGGCCGAGCCTACATAACACATCCCTTAATCTATCTTAGTTAGGCACACTTCTAAGCGGCTTTTCACCGCTTGCGCCCTCCTCTCTGCCAAGGAGGGTCGCGTTCGTATACGGCTTAGAGATCTCTCGTCAGATCAGTAAGCCAATCTTTAAATGTGGGGTTTAGTGGGTAAAAGTCTCCACATAGCTCACAGCTCATAGCATACCACGCAGCCGGCTGCGTGGTATGCTATGAGCATTCCCCGCCTCCCTCCCCCGCTTTCCGGAGGGGTGCCCATATTTGCTTCGGGCGCAAAAAAAAATGTTTTCTGTTTCTTATATAAAATGAATAACGTACTAACTTATAAGGGTTATATGGGTAAAGTATATTATTATTAATTTACTTATCCTCTCAACTGTCCCGGCCCAAATGGTCGCTTTGGCGCATACCAACCCTAAACGAGTGATTTATTGCATACGTGGCGCGTGTCATTAAAATGGCAATATCTTAATAATTATGAATGGAAACTCTATAAAAAAGTATGTTGTTAGAATTATTGTTAAATAAGCTAATAGAATATGTGTAAATGTGTACATTCAACCTTTTTTATATTTTCTAAATTCCATGGTAAAAATGCTAAAACCGATTTTTTCCAGTTTGGTAAATAAAAAGTTGTAAAAAAAACAATTAATTCAATAAATATTTATTTATTTACAATAAGATAAATACACTTTACAATAATTAATAAAAAATACAACTCTGCGTACATTTTTTTACACCACAAGCTCGACAATAATGTGGGCCACTTAACATGGCCCGAAACAGGCACAAAAAAAGGCACATTATGCACTTCAATAGCGATAATTCCATACCGAGATATGTAGGTTAATGATATTAAAACAATGTTGTACGAGTTAGAGGGAGATACAGATACATTTACTACGGCTGTTTCGTGTCTGAATTTTATAAGTAAATTGCAACCTTCTAAAGGTTTTGGACAGAAGCGTCTGTGATATTAATTAACTTAAAACAATCAGCAACTTCTCCGTATCATCGTATGACAAATTTTGTAACCATGTTCGAATTACATTTTTACAGTCTGCCATTTTTAATGGATATATGTACAAAATTTCATTGACTTGATTATACAAAAAAGGGTCCAGCAATGTAAAAACTCTATGCATGAAAGAATGCCTTATTCTAATGTTAGTTTCAATTACTTCATATTTGCGTCTTTTATCAGTGACCTCTCTTCTACAGGGCAACGTACTCATAACGAATAACTGGCACACTGAGAAGACATTATAGGATTTATATAAGAGACGGGATGGTAGTAGACGGCAGTGTAGTTTTAGCTGATCCTCCTCATGAGGTTATACAGTAGGTGAGGATTGACTGACATAATGCGAAATATACTTATTTTACTACCTTAATATCAGCAAAAGAACGAATCTTTTTAAAAACAAATATTAGGTTACGAACTCTATCGCATAGGTGGTTTATGTGGTTTTTAAATGTAAACGTAGAATATATAATTATCCCAAGGTACTTAATAGCTTTTGTATTAGAAATAACTGAGCAGTAACATTTAGACTCTGTGACTGAGCAGCATTGATGTGCATAAATTTCTGGAATGGTTATATGTTGGGTTGAGCTGCGCATAGAAAAATGAAAATATTTGGTTTTGTCCGTATTGAGTGTTAATATGTTTTGTTGGAGCCATTTATTACCTCTATCAAAACCTTGCTGAGCATACAAATAAACCTTGTCAACTGTATTTGCGGATAAAGGGAGCACCGTATCATCTGCGTAAGATATTATTTTACCTGAGTTAAGTTCAAGATTGCAAAGCTCATTTATATAAATCAAAAATAGGGTTGGCCCTAGTACACTTCCTTGAGGCACGCCAAAATGAGTATTTTTTTTTTGTTCAGAGCTAACAACCTTATCGATTTTTATGCACTGATATCGATTTTCTAAATAATTCGCAAAAAGTTGAAGCTACTTACCTCGAATACCTATGCTCTCTAACTTGTTTAATAGGATAGGAATAGAAACCGTATCTAACGCTTTTGCAAGGTCAAGGAAAAAATGCCAATTGATTGATTGGATTGAATAGGCTTGTAATCGGAGCTTGCACCGTCTACAACGACCTTGATGCTCCGATTTGCTTGAAAGCTGGTGATCCAATTGGAGAAATTCTCGGGAAGCACGTAGGAAGGGATCTTCGAAAGAAGACTGAACCTGATCGAAGGCCTTCACAATGTCCAAACTAATGACCATTGCCTCACCCTTGGACTCTACTGCCGCCCCCATCTATGAGTCAGGTAGACCAGAAGATCACCAGCTTATCGACCACGACGAAAATCATATTGACGATCACTAATCAGCTGGTGATTCTCAAGGTACCTCATGAGCTGGCAGTTTACAATGGATTCCATGGTTTTGGAGAACAAGGAGTTGATGGTGATGGGCCTGTAGTTGGACGGATCTGAGCGGTTGCCTTTTTTAGGGATCGGGTTGGACGAAAGCCGTCTTCCATGATATTGGGACTACGCCAAGAGAGTAGGAGTACCGGAAAGACGCGTTAAGACTTGTAACAGCTGTGGAGCACACGTCCTCAACACAATTGGGGGGATACCGTCAGGCCCACTCAACTTG